ACGTCTTAAAATATAATAGATTTTATAATTCCAATGGAAAAATAGTACCGATTTTTTTTGTATGGGGAGTGATGCAGTCTAATATACATGGGTGTGCACCAATTTATTAATATCGTTGAATTATTTTAATATCTATTGCAAAATTTTATTCAGACAGGACTAAAAAGTAGAAAATAAATAATATAAAAAAAACTTTTTAATATACAACGCTTTTATAAATGGANAGTACCGATTTTTTTTGTATGGGGAGTGATGCAGTCTAATATACATGGGTGTGCACCAATTTATTAATATCGTTGAATTATTTTAATATCTATTGCAAAATTTTATACAGACAAGACTAAAAAGTAGAAAATATTTTATTAATTAATTAATTTATTTATTTACACAAGGCTTACATAATAATTAATTATTATATAAACTAAAGCAAACGCAGCGCTAGCAGCAGAGGCTTTCGGCTGGCTGGTGGAATGTGATCGGTCAGATACGACGGAGTAGATCTGTGTCCTTTAGAAATCTGTAGATTTTGCTGATGTTAGCTTCTGTTACGTTCTTTAAAAGTAGAAGAGGATTCAAATTGTCAAAATGATGATACCTGTGGGAAGCAAGTTCTGGGCAGGATACCAGTAGATGATGCACGCTGGCTGTTGCATGACAGAAGGGGCAGGTGTTGGATCCAGTGCCTTGTAGTAAGTGCGCGTTTGTAATTATGGTGTGCCCAATTCGGAGACGTGTGTATGGGGTGATATGGTTGGTAGGTACCGATGTAGGGACAACGGGTTTTGTTCGGCTAGGGTTAATATCCGAATAATGGTGATTATAGTCCGCCGTAAATGTCTCGGTGTAGGATGACTTCGGATGTGATTGTTGGTGTGATGGAAATATTCTTGGTGATTGTGTCTGCAAGTGTGCTACCCTGGATACCGGAGTGTCCGGGTATCCACATGAGTTTAATATTACTCTGGTGGGAAGCGTGTTTTTAATACTCTCGATGATGTAGCTTGATTTTATGTGGTTTTGGAGGGCTTGGAAACAGGACAAGCTGTCGTAGCAAATTATATGCTTTCCCTTGCTTTTGGTAGCGTATTGAACTGCGTGGAATATGGCGGTTGCTTCGGCGGTGAAAATCGAGCACAAAGAGAAAAGGAGGCCGTACGCGACAACTTCTTGGTTTTCTTTTACCACCGCGTAGGAAGTGTAGGATGCTTTGGACCCGTCGGTGATTATCATTTGCAAGCCGCTGGATTTATAACGTGTAGTTGTTTCGGAAAACTTGGCTATGTAAACGGCGTTTGGTGTGTTATCTTTCCGCAAGGAAGCTAGGTCGTTAATGAAGCATGTTTTGCTAACCATCCAGGGTGGGTATTGAGTGTACCGCGGAGGGTGTTGTTTGAATGGCAGTTTGACATATTTCGCAAATAAGGCGCAGGTGTGGATAGATGAGGGCATTTTAGGTAACGATTCACGTGCGGCTGAAGCTTGAAAGTCATTGCGAATTAGAGGATTGGAGCTTAGAGTGAGCTTTGGATACATCCTGAATATTTTGTCCTCCATGTTGTCGTGTAAGGACGGAAGACCTGATTCGGCAAGAATATTTTTTATGGGCGAAGTTGGAAATGCGCGTATTGATCTTCTCACTGCGGTATGGTAGGGAGCAGCAAGCAACTTTAGGTTTTCTTTGGCGTGTAATCCATAGATTTCTACACCGTAGTTGATTGTAGATAAGATGAGGGCGTTTGTCACGTTGATCAACGNTCTTTAGGTTTTCTTTGGCGTGTAATCCATAGATTTCTAGACCGTAGTTGATTGTAGATAAGATGAGGGCGTTTGTCACGTTGATCAACGGCGCCGAGTTAACTAGCGAGCGTTTGCTTGATAAGTACTTAATTATGTTTAACTTTACAAAGAGCCTCTCTCTAACGTATTTACAGTGTTGTATAAAGGAATAATTGGGATTGAAAACAATGCCCAGAAACTTAAGATTATCAGTACATACAATATTTACACCAGTGAAGGCAAGTGTAGGCGGTGCGCAGGTCCGCTTTTTACATATATGCAGCATTTTGGTTTTATCATGACAAATTGAAGGACCTGAGGAGAGGGACCACGTGGATAATAGGCATAGGGTTCTCGAAAAGATTCTCAATAATTCTGTTTGATCTTTGGATTTGGAGAATAACTGTACGTCGTCTGCGTATATCTGGTGTTGGATGTTTGGGAACTTGTTGAAAATGTTGCTAATTTCGTTGAAGACTATAATGAACAAGATGACTGATAAGGTGGAGCCCTGCGGGGTACCATTATTGAGTGGAAAGATGGAAGAGCGGGTGTTGGAAATAAGTACACTTAATTTTCGGTTTGATAGAAACGACTTTATAAAATTGTACAATCTGGGACCGACCTTCCATTTGTCGAGTTGCCTTAGTACTATCTGAATACCAATCCGATCAAATGCCTTTTGAAAGTCGAGTGAAAGAAGGGAAATATGGTTTTTACTGGAAATCGCATTTGAAATAAAGTCAAGGTGTAGTAGGGCATCTATTGTGCTTTGTCCCTTTTTGAAGGCGACCTGGTTGTGGTGGATGAGTTTGCTTGAGTGGGCGTACCAGGTCAGTCTGGTAGCAATTATCTTCTCCATTAATTTTCCAAGGCAGGAGAGGAGNTGTGCTTTGTCCCTTTTTGAAGGCGACCTGGTTGTGGTGGATGAGTTTGCTTGAGTGGGCGTACCAGGTTAGTCTGGTAGCAATTATCTTCTCCATTAATTTTCCAAGGCAGGAGAGGAGGGAAATTGGGCGGTAGCTGTTAACTTCGCAAGGTGATTTACCTGTGCTGAAGATGTTGTTATAGTGCTTAATAAAGCGATGAAAGAATGAGGTAGGGAGATGTTTAATCATGAGAAAGGATATTTTGTCGTTGCTGGGAGTCTGGCCTTTTGCTGCGGACAGGGAAAGATGAAACTCAGTATGGGATATGTCGGCTTCTAAAAGTTTGGCTGAATATAAGAGAGTGGAAGGCGAAATACGATTTATGAGGATTTGTGAGTGCTTACAGGTGATAAAATCGGTGGCAAGGTGTGGTCAGAGGAGCCGTTAGAAAAGTGGCTGGTNAAGTGATTACAGGTGATAAAATCGGGGGGCAAGGTGTGGTCAGAGGAGCCGTTAGAAAAGTGGCTGGTGAGTTCTTGAGCAATTTCCCGGGGATATACAAGACTGCCGTGAGTGGAGTTAAGGGAGTTGATGTGGGAATTGGAAGGTTAACCAGTTCTTTATGTCGGCCCAGATTTTCTTAGGGTCAGATGCTGCAGTAATGTTGCTGGTGAATTTTTGAAAACAGACGAGCTTGGCGTCTTCGATTTTCCGATGAAATTGCGCGTTCAGTTTTTTGAATTGAACGAGATTTGTGGACGATCGGTTGCGTTTGAAATTATGCCACGCATGTTGCTTAGCTTGCCTAAGGGATGCAATATCATTGTTCCACCATAAAGGGGCTGGTTTTACTGGTTTAGTTGAGGACAGGGGGATGGAGTCGTTGGCCGCACAGCGGATTTCTTTTTGGATGTTTGAGGTTTCTTTGATGACATTGCAAGACGTTGGGAAGGATTTCGAACAAGACTCGCATGCAGGTTCAAATTTGTTCAAATCCGCTCTGTCTGTTTTAAATTTGATCTTGGGGGAGAAGGGAATAATGGGTCGGGATGTGAGAATTTTGATGAGGATGGGGAAATGATCGCTACCGTGGAGGTCATCTATAAGGTGCCATGATGAGTTGTTGGAGATGAAGGGAGAGGAGAGGGTAAGGTCGATATGGGTGAAGGTTGAGTGGGTAGAGAAGTGAGTGGCAGAACCGTCATTAAGATCGATGCAGTTAGACGTGAGGATAGCGTTTTCTATAGAGCGACCTCTCTGGCTTGAAGAGGCAGAGCCCCAGAGAGGGCTCCAAGCGTTAATGTCGTCTCCAAGGATAAAGGATTGAGGAGGGGAGCGGAAAATATTGTAAAAGTCGGCGGTTGTTATTGATTGACTTGGCGGAGCATAAGCGCAAGTTATTGTGATTCGGTTGGAAGTTTGCAGTTCTATGGATAGTGAGGATATATTGGATAGGGTGGGAAGAGAGTTGTGAGGCAGATTCCTCTTAACAAGAATGGCGACTCCTTGTTTGTTGGAATTGATGTGCGGAAGATTGTGGAAGTGCCCTACGTAAGACTTGGGAGTGGGGGCAGATGAATTGTAGGCAAGGTGGGTTTCATTTAGAAGTATGATGGAGGGTTTATACCTCTTTATTAAGATTTCAAGTTCAATATAGTTATTGTGATATTCATTTATGTTCCAATGTAATAATGATAACATCGGTTATGTAATTTGTAAGTAAATCAGATAAAGGATTGGTGTAAAAGTATTATACTTATGACTTATAGATTTTTATTTTGTGTCGGTAGTGTGTTTTTATATGTATAAGGGGTTATGAGAACGTTAAGGTAGGGGAATTTTGTATGTAATTGGCTGAAAGGTTTTTATTTATTGTCTTGCTGGTGAAGTTGTTGTGTTATTTTTCCGCCAGGATTTGGGTATGGTGGATATTGATTGTGTGATAGACTTAGGGGAAGATGAAGTAATTCAGTCTCATCTCAAGTCACTAACAGCCCGATTCCGCATCACTGACAAGTTCACCACAGTCACTTTCATGACAGCTAGTCATTGTTCGCTATTCTAGCGCTCTAACAAAAGCTTGTTTTGCTGACAGTCTTGTCAGTTCTAGAAAAGGTGCTGACAGCTGTTTATTGTGTTCATTTTTGAAATTTGTGAAATTATGGAGGAAGAAATTTTTATTTATGCATTGGCTATGAAAGCCCAGGAAAAAAAAGAAAAAATTGATAAAATGGAAAAATGGAGTGATACACTAGGGCTGGGCATCTCCAAAATGCAACAATTTTTATTCTAATATTTTTCCGCCAATTTTGTATAAAAAATGGTTTATTCAACAACAAATAACATAAAAATAAAATTCCTAAACTTTGTGCAAAACTCGCACAAAATCATCAAAATTTTCAACTTTTTAATCAGATTTTTTACAAATTTTTTGAGTATGCAATTTTGCAGCCCATTAAATTCTAGTAAAGAAAATGTAAGTTCGGAGTTAGTAAAAAATCGTGTTGATTTTTGAGATTTTTTTTTTTGTTGAAGATGTTTTGCATTTTTTCCATATAAAGTAAAAAAAAATGTGTATGGAAGAGACTGCGTGAAAACAAATTGCCAAAAATCAACGGTAATTCCTAGCTACTTAAAACTTGCACTTTATTATAATAAAATTGCGCTACAAATCTGCATACTCAAAAAAATTCTAAAAAATCTGATTAAAAAGTTGAAAATTTTCATGAAAATTTGCTGCATTTTCGTGAGTTTTGCACAAAGTTTAGGAATTATATTTTTATGTTGTTGTAGTATGAACTATACTTTTATACGAAATTAGCAGAAAAATATTAGGATGAAAATTGTTGCATATATTGTGAAAAGTTTGCTGTGCCAATAGTTTGTTCCGGCAGTGTATGTATATATAACCTCTTTCCATTTGATTGCCGTGCGTATTGGATCATTTAAGCAATTCAGCCCTTGTGCTACCTCCTCCCAAAGCAATTGCATATGCCGCAGCTCCTTTGGATTGTTTTTGCCTGCTTGGAACTCCGTTCAAACTTTACGCACCTACATACATTTATATGTAGCACACATATTATTTCAAAAGAAAAGAAAATAAAGAAGTTTTTATCACACAATCAAAATAATAACACATTTTAAGTATTTTTTTACATAAAATATGTAAACAAACTTACTTCTTCTCAGTTGCCATCTGTTTGACTTAACTCACCAGTCAGCTGTTTTGCCTTTCATTGCGTGGTGAGTTTAAAGAGCTTTCAGCTTTTCAGTCATCGAACTAGAATAGCAGGGGAGCTTTCAACTGACAACGTCTCTGACATGGCAGCACTGACAAGCAACGCTGTCAGTTTTTACAGAATCGGGCTGTAAATTTGAGATTAGCAATTAGTGCCTATTTTTGTGACTTGAGATTATTTGGCTATTCAGTAGGAGTCACAAAAAGTTCACCAAAAATGTGTGGTGAAAACAAACACGGACAGTCAACTGATAGCGTTTACGTATGCCTTTTGCCGCGCTGCCCGAAGAGTTGCAATAGCCGAGTGGTCAAAGCATTAGGCTGCCAGTCGAGAGGGTCCGGGTTCGAGTACTCCTCGGGCAGAGGATTTTTTATTTAGTATTTTTTTCTTTTTTTATTAGTTTTATTTTTTTTAATAATCTTTAGATTTTAATGTTAAAAAAATAGTTTTTTTTCAATGGCTTTGTATATTAAAGCATTTTGGTTTATTTCCTAACGAAATTCTTATTGGACAAATTTCCTCGCTTCATATTCGCGTTCTTTTTTTAATAAAATGGAAAACAATTAACTTTTTCTCCATATTTTTATTTTTGAGACCTGCTCTTAGCCAGCTGACAGATTAGTGACTTTTTTNCCTAACGAAATTCTTATTGGACAAATTTCATCGCTCATATTCGCGTTCTTTTTTTAATAAAATGGAAAACAATTAACTTTTTCTCCATATTTTTATTTTTGAGACCTGCTCTTAGCCAGCTGACAGATTAGTGACTTTTTTTTTGAGACTAGAGACGTGAGACAGCGTACTGAATACCAAATAGTCTCAAAATCCAAGTTCACCACCAAAAGTCACTATTAGTGACCAGAGACCGCATACTGAATGCCAGGGTTAGTTTGACTTGTTTTCATAAATGCACCGTTATTTGCTTGTGGTTTATTTTTTGTGGTTTCTTCGTGAGTTTTGCATGCTGAAATTGATTTGCGAGTTGTGTGCTGTGCTAACGGTTGTTGGTTCGGTCGTTTCTGAGCTGGTGTTTTGTTTTTCATTTGTGCAAAGGAGGGAGTCATTGTATTTTTTTGAGGGGATTGTATTTGATGTGCATTAGGGTTGCTGTTAAAGATTTTCCATGCATCTCTGATTGTACATCGACGATCTATTTTTATTTTATTTACCGACTTGTGCTTCAGGAACGAGGGACAGATCAGGTCGTAGGACGCGTGGATTTCCATTTGACAGTTTATGCAGAATGTTCTTGGACATGATTATGTGGCGGTGGGGTGGCACACTGGCTACATAGCTCGATATTTCGGCATCTGTTCTTAGTATGTCCGAGCCTTTGACATGTTTTGCACCGCATAGGATTTGGGATGTATTCTAGAACACGAACCTTTTCCCATCCTAATTTAAGGATTTAGTTTATCGCCATCTTTACCCATGATTTTTTTGACTTCGATCACTTTTTGGTCCTCCAGCTCTTCAACTAATTCTTCTTCGCTTTTCATTTTCAATCTCATAAATTGTTTATAATCACTTTTGCTAAAATTTCAAAATCAAAAGTTATCGAAACAAATTCTATGGGACTGAGAATTATTATTTTCTACTTTTTAGTCCANCCGATCACTTCCTTTTGGTCCTCCAGCTCTTCAACTAATTCTTCTTCGCTTTTCATTTTCAATCTCATAAATTGTTTATAATGACTTTTGCTAAAATTTCAAAATCAAAAGTTATCAAAACAAATTCTATGGGACTGAGAAGTATTATTTTCTANTCTTTTTTCACTTCGCGTCATATGAGTGATGTGTTTATACCTGTTTACTAACCGATGTGAGAAATAAAAAAGCGATTTGAAAACAAATTCGNAAGTCTTTTTTCACTTCGCGTCATATGAGTGATGTGTTTATAATTGTTTACTAACCGATGTGAGAAATAAAAAAGCGATTTGAAAACAAATTCGAGTCAATACACTTTTGAATTTCTGAGCGTAGGTAAATTTGGTTTATGCTTCCGTTTTGAATCACAGCGAACTGGGTCAAAGCGCTTTATGTGTTGGTATAAACAAGGTATATGTTGCATCATTTTCCAAAAGCTTTGTGGAATTTGTATGCTGTTACAACAACAGCCACGAAGTCTCAGGCACAGTACAAATTTAACACTGAATTTTCGCCCCTTTATATGAAATCGAAAAGTTATATAATTTCTCTACGTTTCCCTGGATTTCATAGTTAGCGGGGATATCAGCTCTAGTTTTCACGAGGACATATAATCGCCAACAGGATATCTTTTCCATTAAGGGTCTTGATATTTCAGGTATACGTGCACAACTAGAACCTGACTAAATCATGCATGTCTGATGCGTACGACAAAAACCGCTGTTGGAAATATCGGCAAAAATTCTTGCTGCGGAGCAAGAATAACCGTATGAGAGTATTTTTTTAATGTTTTTTTTTTCAATATCTTAATTTCATTACCCTGATGAGATAATTTAATATTTTTATCAGAAACTTACTAGGTCGATTGAGAACCCATCAGCCTAAAAAAAAAAAACAATAATCAGGTAGGTTTTGCAATACACTTCCGAGTGAATTTCAGTGAACTTTTTATTCAAAAATAAAAAGTCGAAAATCAGGGAGCCACACGAATAGTTTGTTGTTTCACCAACCCCTGTTATGAAATTTTCGCTAACAAACATTCTGCTCGTTCCTACGACAGCCGGAACGACCCAGACTTATATCTGCCCAAGGACTGTCCCTTCAGGAACACTCCCCAAAAAATATTAAATTATCTCATAACATACAGCATGAATATCTTATGAAATATAATGCAGGAGACCGCATAGTCCGGTCAAATTAGACCAAAAAAGTTAA